ACCAAAGAGTGAATTAAAAATGGGTGATATTGAGAATGGCAAGAAGATTTTTGTTCAGAAGTGTGCCCAATGCCATACTGTGGAAAAGGGAGGCAAGCACTAGACTGGGCCAAATCTCCATGGTCTCTTTGGGAGGAAGACAGGTCAGGCTGCTGGCTTCTCTTACACAGAGGCCAGTAAGAACAAAGGCATAACCTGGGGAGAGGACACACTGATGGAGCATTTGGAGAATCCCAAGAAGTACATCCCTGGAACAAAAACGATCTTTGCTGGCATTAAGAAGAAGGGAGAAAGGGCAGGCTTGATAGCTTATCTCAAAAAAGCTACTGATGAGTAATGATTGGCCACTGCCTTATTTATTACAAAAGAGAAATATCTCATGGCTTTTTTAATATGTACCATAATTTGATTGGTCTCATATACCAGGATTTAGATCATGAATGAGTGACAGAATATTTTTGTTGGACAGTCCTGATTTAACTAAGACTGGCTTGAGTTTAAATGAATATGATCAGTTTTTTGGATTTTGATAGTGATTCCAGTTCAATAAATGCTATCACTGTTTTTCCTTTCTAAAGATATGATTAGATTTAATTAGTGGGGATTACCTTTTCACAAAGGTAGTAAATTGCCATCTCAAACCTTATTGAATGGTTTTATAAAAAGATTTATATAGCTGATTAGGTGAATATATTTAAACACTGGGGAAATCCCTTCACCATCTCAGAACCAAACAAGGCCCATTTGTGTTTTAACTGGTGTTCATTAGCCTGTTATAGGTGAGGGCTGGAGAGAAGGTAGCAATGTTTACTTTGTATTTTTGACCTTTATTATGCCAATCTAATTTCCCTGGGAATACTGAAATGCTCCCTTTTATTTATTAAAAGACATTTTAGTGTGGTTTATATGTAATGTCAAATAAAGAATATTTAACACTCCCCTTAAAAAAAATAGTTTTCCTTGTTGTTACTGGAGAAACCCTGACCTCAGGGGGGAAGTAATGCCACCTCTGTCATATCTCAAATTTCCAGATATGGATGGGCTTGCGTCTGGACTCTCCACCTTCTTCCTTTGGTCTTTGGCTCCTTTTCCAAAGCCATACCATCTAATAACTGTGGCTTTATAAAATGCTTTGATCTCCAGTAAGAAAAGTATCCCCCATTTTTTTCTTTCCAAAATCGTCTTAGCTAATCTTGGCCCTTTGCTCTTTCATATTAATTTCAGTATGAGCTTTTCAAATTTCTTGGGAAAAACTCATTTAGATTTTGATTGCAATTGTACTGAATTCATAGATTAAAATCAACACTGAGCTGACAATCTAATGATACGGAATCTTCCCATCGTGTATTTGTGTATGGCAGGGCTTGTTGATTGCTTACATCAGCACCTAGCCTGCTCCACTCCCCTTCTTTTTGGCAGAGAGTGCCTCCATGTTGGATACTGTTTTCACATTTTTGTGAGATACTTCCCTATGCTCCTGTGCTGGTGGGCATGGCCTCATCACTCAATCCTGGGCAGTAGGACACAAGAGGAAGTTTATGGGAAAAGTTTATGATAAAAATGCATGTATGAAATGATACTTGTCTTACTCCCATCAGAATAAGGCCATGTGAAGAAGACTTCACACATAGATTCTACCTAAGACATCCATCCTGCAACTATGACAGGACAAACCTAGATTCACATTATTTCCCTACTAGAAATAATTCAGCGGAAAGGTGGAAAGAGCCTGAGAGTTTGATGACATCTTTGAGTTGCAGAATTAACCAACCCTGGACTTGCCTATGCTTAGCTTCTTGTTATGTAAAATAATAAATAATCTTTTAAGACATTTCCTGTTGCGTACATGTTATTTACATGTAAAAATATCCTGAAATGTAGTATATGTACACCATGGAGAGCAATTCAGTTATTAAAAAAATGGTGAACTAATACCTTTTGTAACACCCTGGATGGAGCTGGAGACCATTCTTCTATGTGAAATATTGCAAGAATGGAAAAACAAACACCACATGTACTCACCAGTAAATTGGAATTAAGCAATCAACACTTCTATGCACATATACAGATAACATTCATCAAATTCAAATAGGTTGGGGGGATGGGTAAATTCACACCTAATGGGTACAATGTGCACTGTCTGGGTGGTAGGCACACTTATAACTTGGACTAAAAACAATACAAAGCAATCTATGTAACCAAAATGTTTGTATCCTTGTAATTTGCTGGAAAAAAAATCCTAATTAATATATCAGGTCATTTTTCATTTCCTTCAATAATATTTCATCATTTTCTCCACAGCTTACAAATTTTTGTGAATAAAATGGTTTTTAAAATTACATTTCTGATTGCCTACTACTAGTGACAATAGCCTACCAGATAGGTTATTGATTAATTTGTTGGTGTTATACCCAGCTGAGTAATCACTCATTAATTCCAATATCTTATAAAGTTGCTTATAGACTAATGTAGCATCCAACAATATGGACAGTTTTGAGAAGTTTTTTGCTTTTACATTCTTGTATTTATTATTTATTTATCTTACCTTATTACATTAGCTTAGACTTCAGGTATAGTATGGAAAAGGTGCAGTTATGGTGGGCAGCCCTGTTTCCTCCTGATAGGAATGATCATAGGTTTCAGTTCCCAAGGCCTCTTCATACCACAACTCGGAGGGGCACAATTCATAATACTTTTGCATTACAAATGACTTTGTAATATATTTTTTATACATATTCATTATTAGGTTAAAGTGTCTTTGTATCAGTTAACTTGTGTTGCAAGTAACACAAGAAGACTAAAAAGCAGTACATTGTATAAGATAGAAACCTATTTTTCATCCTAAAGATATGCAAAGGTAGTCAGTTCAGGACACAAATAGTGTGCTATGTCTCAGAGATCCAGGACTTATTATCTCAATCCACTATCTTAGTATTAAAGGTGAAAAACCATGCACTTTCCTTAAGAGGTGAAGAAAAATCATCCAGTCGAATTTCTCATTAGTTATGATTTTTGAAAATCTTCAGTGGCACCTATAGCTCAGTGGGTAGGGCGCTGGCCACATACACCCAAGCTGGCGGGTTGGAACCTAGCCCAAGCCAGCTAAACAACAATGACAACTGCAACCAAAAAATAGCCGGGCATTGTGGTGGGCACCTGTAGTCCCAGCTACTTGGGAGGCTGAGGCAAGAGAATAGCTTAAGTCCAGGAGTTGGAAGTTGCTGTGAGCTGTGACACCACGGGACTCTACCAAGGGCAACATAGTGAGACTCTGTCTTAAAAAATAATAAGAATAAAAATCTACATAAACTAGGACTAAAACGTGTACTGAGATTGCTAATTTAATCTCTGTATTTATTCTCCCCTTATTCCTGGATAAACAAACAAACAACAACAACAACAAAAAAAAACTCAATCTTTTCTTCTGAACTTTCAAATTTATTTGCATAGATTTATCCATTTTTTCTTTCTCTCTCTCTCTCTCATTTTTTTTTTTTTTTTGAGACAGAGTCTCACTATGTCGCCTTGGGTAGAGTGCTGTGGCATCATAGCTCACAGCAACCTCAAACTCTTGGGCTTAAGTGATTCTCTTGCCTCAATCTCCCAAGTACCTGGGACTACAGGCACCTACAACAATGCCCAGCTATTTTTCAATTATAGCTTTCATTGTTGTTTGGCAGGCCCAGGCTGGATTCGAACCTCCCTAACCACTGAGCTACAGGCCCCAAGCCTATCCATTTTCTCTTATGAGTTATTTATTCTCTATTCCAATGTGGTGTGTTTCTGTTCCCTTTATTGTTTCTAAATTGTGTCCTTGTCCCTTTTTTTTTCTTGATTATCCTTGCTAGAGATTTTTCTTTCATTCAAGAACTCAAATTTTAACTTTATTGATCTTTTGTACTGTTTTCTAACTCATTAATTTCCATTTTATCTTTATTGTTTCCTTTTTTAAACACTTTTTAGGCTCCTTCTGTTTTCTGTTTTCTCCCTCTGTCTTGAATTGACTAAAAACTCATTTAGTTTTTATTATCTTTTTCTTTCATAAATGAATTTTAGATTCTATTTACATCTTTTAATTTTACTTTAACTGTATCACAATTTAATTTAATTTTACTTTAACTGTATCTTTAGCTCATTTAAGACAGTTTGGACTTTTCATTATAATTTCTTCTGGTACCCAAAAGTTAGCTAGGAAGGTATTCTAAAATTTTCAGATATGCAGTTTTTTTCTTTTTTTTTATTTACTTCTTTTTTTTTATCAGCTCTCATTTATGCTGTTTAATTTAATCATTGTGATTTTTTTTAAGTATGATATAAATTATTTGAAAAGTCTTAAAGTTTTCATGATGTGGTCAATTCTGCCAATGTTCTAGCATGAAAAATATATAATCTTTATTTATCAGTTCAGGATTCTACATAAAACTATTCGTTAAATTAATAAGATATTTTCTTCAAATATTTTATAGGTGTTTTAGTTAAATGTTAAAAATCTTTTATTGGACTATTAATTTTTGCCTTTTATATAACTTGAAACCATGTTAGGTTCATGCAAGGTCACGATTGCTACATCATCTTGGAGAATGATTCATTTTATTATCATATAGGGTATCTGTTTTTCCCTACTTACTCTTTTTGCTATAAATTCCATTTTATCCAATATTAATATTACTATTCCACACCTTTTGGAATATGAATAATCTGTCTTTTTTTCTTACCTTCCCCCCCAACTTTCAGGTTAATATTGCTTTAGGTGTGTCTTCCTTGTCTATTGCATATGGTTGGGTTGCTCTCTCTCATTCATTTTAATGATCTCTGCTTTTAATTGTTGGCTCTAATTCACTTGCAAAGATTGTTATTACAGCATCCCTTAGTACCTGAAGGAGATAAGTTCTAAGGACCCCCATAGACATGAAAATCCACCTAACCTCAAGTCATTTATGTCAAATGGTATGACATTTGCGTCAAATCTACACCATCCTCTTTAAAACATCTGCAGATTGATCCTTTTGTAGTTCATAAGCGTGATGATTGGGTTTTCATGCGCATGCGTGAAATGTGCCTCCCACAAGTCTTGTGACGTTGGCACCTTACCCATCTGACGTGAAAAAAATAAAATATTAAAAAATAAACCATCTACAGATTACTTATAATACCTAATGCAATGAAAATGCTACATAACTAGTTGTTATACTGTATTGTGTTTTTATTTATGGTATTTTTGTTGTCGTATTGCTATTTTGATTAGTTTTTAAAAATATTTTTACTCCACTATTAGCTGAATCCTCAGATGTGGAAACTGTGCGCATGGAGGGGCAACAAAGTTCTCTTCTTATTTTTTTTTTTGTCTCTTCTGCTAATAATGTTTTCTTTGCTTCTTTTTTCCTGATTTTCTCTATGCTTTTGGAATGATAAAGTTATTTTGTTTGTTTGTTTTGAGACAGCTTCACTTGGTCACCCTGGGGTTGAGTGCCATGGTATCATAACTCACAGTAACCTCAAACTCCTAGGCTTAAGCGATTCTCTTGCCTCAGGCTCCCGAGTAGCTGGGATTACAGGCACTCGCCACAATGCTCAGAGCTTTTTTTTTTTTGTAGTTGTCATTGTTGTTTAGCAGGCCCAGGCTGGGCGCGAACTCATCAGCCCCCGTGTTTGTGGTTGGCACCAAAATTACTAAGTGATGGACAACAAGCCCAGATAAAGCTTTTATAATTACTTTTTTTCTCTGCTTGTATTGGAATGGATAGTATGCATTTTTCTTTTTTCTTTTTTCTTTTTGTAGAGACAGAGTCTCACTTTATCGCCCTTGGTAGAGTGCTGTGGCATCACACCGGCAATTCTCTTGCCTCAGCCTCTCAAGTATCTGGGACTACAGGCGCCTGTCACAATGCTTGGCTATTTTTTTTGTTGCAGTTTGGCCTGGATGGGTTTGAACCTGCCACCCTGGGTACATGGGGCCAGCGCCCTACCCACTGAGCCACAGGCGCTGCCCCCTGCATTTTTATTTTAAAATGATTTTCTTTATCTTTAAATATTTAACAATAATATGCTCTTTTTATAAACAAATCCAAACTATTGCAGTATTTTTACCATCTTCCTAGTGATGCATATTCTTTATCTAATTAGTTCTTCCCTCCTCCATTTTGGTATTGTTTTGTATGTTTTTACTTTTGCTTTTTCAATAAACACAGAAGTATTCCTAGTGTAGTCAATAGTTAATGATATTTACTAACACCTTTTATTAATTTCTATATGTGCCACTACTTCTTTCCCTTGTTTTCTTTTCCATAATATAACTTATAATAGATTCCTTTAGTGAGGATTAATAGATGGTAAAGAGTTTTAGCCTTTTCTGTCTGAAGTATTTTAATTTCACTCTTGGTACTTGAGTGCAAACTAGCTGGATGTAAATTCCCTCAACCCTGTGAAGGTATGACTCCATTACCTTCTTGGTTTCGATTGCTGCTGATGAAAAATTTAAGGTGTAAGTTCGGTCTAATTTTTCATCATTTTAGGAATCCATTTTCACCCAGTAGCTTTAAAGATTGTCCATTTATGGATGATGTTCTGCACTTTCACTGTGATGTGGATATATCTTTATCCCAAGAGGTACTCAAAGTGCACTCTTGATCTGAGTTATTACATTTTTCTCCAATTCTGGAAAATTGTAAACTCTTATAGTCTTTTCAAATAATGGATACTCCCTCAAACTGTAAGCTACAATCTTCTCAAATAATGGATTCTCCCTCATTCCTTCCAATGAATGAGGTGCTCAGATTAGAGGTTGGCTGGAGCCTCTCAGTCTATCCTCCATGGCTCCTATCTGTCCTGCTCTTTCAAATTTTCTATTTCCCTCTTCCTTTGTAGCAGATCTGCACACATGTATCCATAATCTTTTCCAGCTTACTGACTATCCCTTACACTGTGCCCTGTCTCGACTTCATCTTGTCCATTGAGTTTATTTCAAGAATATGTTTTTAAGTTTCCAGATTTCCAATAGATTCTTTTCTCTATCTACATGTGGTGGCTTGCCCCCAATCTGTCCCGTCCCTACATGCCCCCCTCCCCTTTGCAAATGTGACTCTGATGCTCTCTCCATCCTGAAATCAAGTCCTGTCTATGCGGCTTTGGCCAGTGTCCATTGGCAGATAGGATTCAAATAAAGATTCGATAAGTATACTTTTTCTTCCATTCTTGAGATACTTTGCTAGGAAGAATACGTTCCAGCATACTCAGTCCTACTATGAAACTAATTTATAGCTTTCATATGAAAGCTATAGCCCAATTATAGCCCAAAAATTTGGGGAAAGGGAGGGGAGGGGAAGGGGGAGGACAGGTGGAGGGAGGGTAATTGGTGGGACCACACCTACAGTGCATCTTACAAGGGTACGCGTGAAACTTACTAATGTAGAATATAAATGTCTTAACACAATAACTAAGAAAATGCCATGAAGGTTATGTTAACTAGTTTGATGAAAATATTTCAAATTGTATATAAAACGAGCACACTGTACCCCATGACTGCATTAATGTACACAGCGATGATTTAATAAAAAGAAAAAAAAAATTGAGAAGTAGGGCACTGCCTGTGGCTCAAGGAGTAGGGTGCCAGCCCCATATACTGGAGGGTTCAGACCCGGCCCCAGCCAAAAACTGCAAAAAAAAAAAAAAGAGTTTGAGCTTGCTGTGACCTGTGATGCCTCAGCACTCTACCCAGGGCAACATAGTGAGACTTTGTCTCAAAAAAAAAAAAGAAAAAAAAAGATTCGAGAAGTACTTGTGCTTTGGAGCTAGCTCTTTTCTCTGTGGGAAATCCTGTCACCACGTAAGCAAGCTGAGGCTAGCCCCCTGCAGGAGGAGAGACCACAAGGAGAGAGACCCTGGCTGTCCCCAAGATCTCAGATGAAACCCCAGATGGGCAAGGGAGGCCGTCCTGGACTATCCAGAGCCAGCCACACCAGCTCATAGCAGAACTGTTCAGACAACTCATTAACTCCCAAGAAATAATACAGGTTTGTTTTTTAGACGACTAAGTTTTGGGGTGGTTTGTGACACAGCCAAAGGTAACTGACATAGTATATATCTTATTCAATTTCTCCCTGGTTTGTTTCATAATATTTGTTCACTTTTAATGGATCTAATTCATTTCTCATGTCTTTAATGACCTTAACTGTTACTGTTTAATTCTCACTGTTTAATCATCTTACTGTTTACACGTTTGTCACACTGCTTCATAAAATTATTTTCAACCAGAGTGAATTGTTGATTTTGTTTGTTTTTCTTAGCACTCACTTTCTATATACATTTTGGAGAGTTTGCAGCCTCATTTTATTTATTTATTCATTTGAGACAGAGTCTCACTTTGCCGCCCTCAGTAGAGTGCTGTGGCGTCACAGCTCACAGCTCACGTCTCTTGCCTCAGCCTCCCAAGTAGCTGGGACTACAGGCACCGGCTACAACGCCCAGCTATTTTTTTATTGCAGTTTGACCGGGGCTGGGCTCAAACCCACCACACTCAGACTATGGGGCTGGTGTGGTACTCACTGAGTCACAGGTGCCGCCCTGCAGCCTCATTTTAAATGAAAGCATTTTGTTTTGTTTCATGTGTTTTGCTTTCTTTTGTATCCAGTCAAGAAGACTAGGGGATGCTTTTGCACAGTGCCCTGCATTCTCAGTCCATAGCCAAGTCTTTGATGGGATACTGGGGGCTCCTTCCCTAAAGTGATAACTGAGATTTTTATAGAGCCAGTCAAATGCCGACTTTGAATTAGCTGGTTTTGTATCAGCTTTGAATTTCTAATCAGTTCCTGGTTAAAAGGCTGGGTCTTGGGTCTTCCTAGTTCCATAGCTTCTGCAAGGGCCAGACTTGGATTTCAACAGGCAGCCTGTTCTACAGACTCTTGCATAGACACTTCGTTTCTGTCACCCTAGAAGAGCCAGGCTCCTTTGCTCTACTGCCTGGTTTGGGCCCAGAGCCCTGCAAGCCCACAGCTTCATCTCCACTCACTTCTTTGCAGTGATCCACGAAGATGTTTTTTCTTGTTTTTGGTTGGCTATATTCTATTAGGTTTGTTTTTCCTTTGTAAACCTTGCCTTTCATTGCTTTTAGGGCACAGGGGATGCATCGAAGTGTAAAATAAAGGGAGCTGATTTGAGTAGAGATCCATTTCATATAGTTTTCTTTCCTAAAAATTAAATATAAATTTTTCGGCCAGCATGCAAGAGCTTTCACGGTTCAGATCCACGTCCCACTCCACTGCCAGGCACCCTCCACACCACTCACATCAAGTTCTTTCCTGCTCCCCAAACACAGCCTGTGCTTTTATTCCTCTGTGTATTTTGCAAATGCTGTTCCCTCCATCAGAACAGCCTTCCTGCCACACCTTTAATTTTCAAGACCTTGATCAAAAGTCATTTCAGCTGGGAAGTTGGCACCAAATGCCACGGATAAAGTGATTTATTCCTTCTCTCTGCAAAGATGGTATTAAGTACCTCTGTATAGTGCTTCCTCTATGCTCCATTTTTGTACATTGCTTATGTTGTCAAGTTGCAAATTTTAGTATTTATAATCTCCTGAGCCAGGCTCAGACCTTCCTGAAGAACAGACACTGTTTTATTTAGATCTGTATTCTTGGAAGTTAGCAAAGAACCTGGCACAAAGTGAGCACTCAATGCATGTGTACTGAGTTAATGAATGAATGGGTGAGTTGTACGATGTGCAAGGTAAACATGTAATACACGTGGTTTATTCTCATATTGTTACCTCCATGGTCAACTGCTGTTTATCTAAGTGTCTGCTTTGAATAACACGATTGTGCTATTCATCACATTTAGAAATAAGAGGAAAGCGCTGGACTTGTTCTTTTCCACGAGGTTTGTCTTATAGCATTGCCACTAAGCTAACACTGTATGGAGAAAATTGAGACACCCCAATATCCCTTTTGTAAAAGTGTGGTTTTTATAACTGTTAAGGCAAAATGGGACAGTCTTATTTCCTTCCTCAATTTCATGGTATATTCTTTTATTTTTTTTTGAGACACAGTCTCACTATGTCGCCCTCAGTAGAGTGCTGTAGCATCACATCTCCCAGCAACCTCAACCCTT